AAATATGTGCTACCATAATGTTGCTGTTCAGTGAGGAATGTCCTCTAAATGTCAAACTCTATTTTGAATGACCCACTAATCTGCCATGTGGGAAATTAACTCTTTAGCTATTGTTTTGATGTAATTTCTACTGGAAAAAAAAGAGAATCATAATGGGAAAAACATGAGTTTTGAAGTCTGATTTAGGCTACAATTCTGGCAATGCTTCCTACCAGCTGTGTGATTTGTGGTAGATTGTTTAAACTCTTTAGCCTCCTTGTGTCCCTATCTGCAAAATTTAGATGATACTCTTCTGCAAAAAGATACAGAAGATTAAATAATTATGTAATAACACATAGTTGGTAGGAAATGTATCTTCCTTTCTTGAATCATAACTTGTATATTTCTTATAATGTTTACGATTGCTGATTGTCTTAAAAGGATCAATGATAGGGCTGAATGCTGTGTATCTTCCTTAGGTAGCCATTTATGGCTAACACAAATTTACCTACAGAAACTCTTCTGATTATAAAAAATGATAATAGTATAATCAATAGTCTTAATATTTTATTCATATCATCTTAATTACTACCAGTGGTTAAGAAATTTGGAAAGTGTAGTCGTTTTATCACCATAATCTTCTCTCTTGCCATTTCCTAATTCTTGTGTGTTTTTATTTTTCCATCAAATATGTTTTGCTTACTAAACATTGGCAGAACGCGGGTTTTATAATACGTAGATGATATCACAATGAATAGTGGTAGACAGATTTGGAAATGTTAGCAAAACCAAAAGTCAAACACTGGGGTGAGCTTGAGTTAATGGGGGAGATCAAAGATTGTGTTTGCTGAGGATACTCTTCTCCTTTTAAGTAAGCACTTTGGCCTTTGAGATACTGTGCTGGAAAAAAAAAAAACTTGCAGATATTCCTGGTTGAGATGTGCAGGGAATGTGAATAGAGAAGAGTCATGAAAAGGTGATGAAAAATATGTAGAGTTGAGTACCATCATCTCAGATGTAAGCCCTGGCAAACTAAACTGAAGATAGGATGAAAGAGAGGTAGAGAGAAAAGAGAAAACAAAAATGAGTTTGCCATTTTATTTAGCATTAAGGTAATACAAGTTCTGAATGCTGCGTATAGTTTATTTCATATGGTCTGGGTGTATTTTAAATGTGTATTGTTCATAGGTATGTGGTATTTAGATGTATGATTATATGTGATATGTGTTGGACCATAGACATACTGAGTGTTTTGTGAGAAACGTTTTATGAACTATGGTCTTTCCACTTTAGTGAAAACAGTAGCCAAAGTCCTTGGAATGTCTTACTCGAAGCAGGACTTATGCTGCTGGGTAATAGACTGGCGCCTGCCAAGTCTCTGGCTGCATAAGGGATTTGGAGCTTTTGGGTTTTCCAGAGTTTCTGTTTTAAATGATATTGTGTTTTGCAATCAGGAGTCATTTGGTCTTCTAGAAAGGGGGCATTTTAGCACAGAACGCAAACATACACTTTACACTGATTCTGCTCTACTACCTGGGAAATAAGAAAATAGGATTTTCCCCCGAGGAGTTGCATTTCTAAGGGTAATGATCTTTCCCAACTTCTTCAGTAGCATGTATGTCTTTGCCACTGTGTCCCCATAGCACTGAATAGAACAGATGGTCTTTTAAGGGCTTATTTTGCCTTTATTCTGAGAGGTCTAAACTATTACAATAAAGAATGTCTTAAGTAGTAAATGTTTTCTCAATAATCGTTAGCATACATTTTAATCATTACTTTTGGATTTTTCAGGCTTTTGCTGTTCATTCCCAGTCTCTGACTCTGATCTTTATATTCTCTGACTTTATTACCAATAGTTGCCCTATTTCTATCCCTCCAGTCAAAGACAAACTATTTTATTAAGCCCTTCCTTTGGTCCGTGGAGGAAGCCCATCTTCCGTTGTGCTTTGGGCTTTGTCTTCTGCCTCCCTCTTGTGAGCTGCATAACCACACCTTAGGTCAGCTAGGTACGCTAGTAACTGAGCCTGGGTCAGTTTGCTGGAGTCATGTTTCTGTCCTACCTTAGTCTCCTTACTACTGCAGTTCTAGAATATTCCATGAAGTAATCCACAGGCAGTTCAAGGGGGAGGGGGAGGTGATCTTGCATGGCCTAGAGGGGCCATGAGAGTAGTGGACACAAGGGCAGAGCTGGGAAGTCCTTTATTGCTTGACTGTATTCTGATTCCCCTTGTACAGAAGAAAGTGAGATGTCATTCCGCAAAGTGATAGGTAATTGAATGTAAGTACCAAATACCAAGGGAAAAGTCTGAGAATTATGGACAATTTGAACTTATTTAGATTTTAGCCAAGTGGTTGGCATATTAAATTTGTACTTGAATAAATTAGATTTGGTCTCAGTATGGAGAATACACTAGAGAAGGAACCGCTGAAGGCAGGGCAGCTGTCCATTTAGGGAAAAGAGGCAAGGATGATGGAGGCCTAGATTAAATATTGGAGATATGAGTGGAGAGAAGTGGATTTGAGATGTTTAGGATATACAAGCTAAGATTTTAGGACTGACCAAATCTGAGAAGAGGGATTTGACCCAGGTTTTCTGATTTTGATGACTGGATGGGGAACAATGCCAAGAATTGTGAGGATCAACATAGTAGCCGAAAAGATGACAGCAACTGGACATAGCTTTAAAATAAAACCAAAGAAAAACATTCTGCCAGGATTAAGCTAACATAGCTCAGGAGGTGGTCAAGTTTTCTTAGTGATCTTACTGACATAAGGACAGATTTCGAATACCTGGAGGAGTAATTGATGGACTTCAGTCAAACTTTTGATAAAAGTTGAAGTAGTTGACATTAAATGGTGGAACACTGTTCTGTGTTGCCGTTGTCCTGGCACAGTCCTGATTATGTGGACCAGACTTGAGTCCACCTGTGGAGTCACCTGTTCTTTCAAGGTTTTGTTATCCTTCGGCTTCCCTGTGGTTCTTATACCTCCTCTTGGTATGAAAAGTCTGTGCCATTGAAATATATCCTTAGTTAATAGGCTTTCATTAGTAAGACCTCTTATCCAGTTCTACTCCTTTCTTGGTGGGCAGCTCAGCTGTCATGGCCTCAGTCCATCACCTATATTCTCAGAGCTCCTCCTGCTTCGTAAGTTGGGGAAAAAGGTAGCTCTTTTGGAGAAAACCTCATTACCTTGTAGTTAAGGGTGCAGTCTTTAGAGTCAAACAGATCTGTGTTCAGAGCCTAGCTCTGCCACTTACCAGGTGTATTATCTTGGGCCTGTGCTCTTAAATAATTCCTCATCTGTAAAATGGTACTAATCTTTTACTTATTTCTTAGAACTGACAAGTTTTATTAGGTAGTACATATAAAGCATTTAGTATTGTTTTTGGTCCATACAAAACACCCAGCAAATGTTACCTTTCATTTGGCATCTTTAGTTGTATACCTACACGTTGACTCTCTAAAATTGATCTTTTTGGGGATTGTATGTAGCCTGAAGTTATTAATAGTAACCTTTGACATGTTTTCATGTGCTTGCAGGAATTTGAAACTGTAATATACTTAGGTGCCATAAAATTTCGGTAGCTACCTATTTCTCTTTGATGAATCAGGAAATCTGGGCATGTTTAATTTGTAATAATTGAGTTTTTGGTGTGATTTAAAAATACATATGGCAAAAATAGTTTCTGAATGAACAAATGTGCCAACATTATTTTGGCTAAACCTGGATTTTTATTAATGCTAGGTATGATGGAAAAATGAAGGTACTCATTTTATACAGGCAAAAATATTTTTGCAAAAATGAAAAAATATTTTGAGGATTGTTATATTCCAGATATATTTTTATATTTTTAGCTACCATTTTGATACTGAAATCAGGATAAAAAATCATGTTTTCCATTTAAGTCTCCACACTTGTCTTCAAAATCACATTAATCTAGGTGTAATTGAATATGAATTTATAGAAGTACATGGGAAATGAGATTTTATGTCTAATTAGATATTTTTCACAGTTGGATGAGAAGCCAGTGTTCCAGTGTTTCCTGCCAGGAACCTCAATTTTCTAAGCCAAAATATGTTTGACATTTTCACCCAGGTTGATATTACCATTAGATGTCAGTCTGAGCAGTAGTCCTTACTTGTCTGTGAAGTCTGCAAGTGTGGAAATCTCTTGTTTAGCCTGTATCTTCATCTACTATGTTCACTTAAAGTTTCCACGAATTGTTTATTTCATTAACTGAATATGGAAATACCCCCAGACAATTTTGTATGTCTGTATGACCTCACACAAATGTATTATTTTGTTGGTTCCCAACTTTTTCATGAGTAGAAGCTTCCTTGTTTAGTAATTTTTTTTTTTTTTTTTTTTTTTGAGACGGAGTCTCGCTCTGTTGCCCAGGCTGGAGTGCAGTGGCGCTATCTCCGCTCACTGCAAGCTCCGCCTCTCGGGTTCACGGCATTCTCCTGCCTCAGCCTCCCGAATAGCTGGGACTACAGGCGCCGCCACCTCGCCCGGCTAGTTTTTTGTGTTTTCGGTAGAGACGGGGTTTCACCGTGTTAGCCAAGATGGTCTCGATCTCCTGACCTCGTGATCCGCCCACCTCGGCGTCCCAAAGTGCTGGGATTACAGGCGTGAGCCACCGCGCCCGGCTGTTTAGTAATTTTTATCCATAGGCACAGATGACTTCAGCATGTGCTGAACTTGGAATCAGAAGAAAGTTATAGCCTTGACTCTGTTACCTGGAACCATTCTCTTTGCCCTGAGGTAAAAGAAAGAAAGAAAGAAAAGAAATTTGTCCTCTGTTCGGAGGACTTTTGTGAGGCTTTCATGAGGTAAATGAAAACACTTTGGATATCCAAGCATGATAAGGATGTAAAGTGATGGCATATTTCTAATTCAAGTAGTGAAGGAAAATAAATATGCACTAGAGGGTGAGATTTTGCTTAAGGTAAACAACTGCTTTGGTATAAGCTAACTAAAGAAATAATTTTTACATTTTGTATTTTCCAACCAAACAGAATCGGGACCAGTATTCACATCTGCTAAGTGATCATTTTCTGCCATACCAAGGTCATAATTCCTTCCGTGAGAAATATTTTAGTGGGGTAACAAAAAGAATTGCCAAGGAAGAAAAATCCACCCAGGAATGAAAATTAAGATTTTGACAATAAAGAGAGAGTAAGAATTTGATTTAGAAAGACATCTGGATGTGAACTTTCATGTATGATCCAGAAAATATGTACTGTTTTAAAATATTTTATATAGAAAAGCTACAAAGTAAATTGGGCAATGCTTTTAAAGTTATCTTTGTTTTATAGACTTTTTTGTTGTATGTATTACAGTCTTTATAATCTTATTTAATGTATATTTGTACTTCCAAGTACTGATGGAGATGGACTCAGAACAGTTATTTTTTTACAATTAATCTACAAAGGGAGTTAATATTGTTGACTTTTAAAACATCTGCTGGATATATTATAAGCAATTAATAGTAATTAAGAATGTATTCATTTGGTAGATATGTTTATTTGGTTTTTGATGGTAATTGATTGACATTGCCACTAATAAAGCATATTGAGAATTTCTAAAATTGTGTCATATCTAGTTGTCTTCAGGGGGGATGTGATGAGGGAAATAAATTTTTATTTAGAAATTCCAGACAAGGAAGTAATAACAGTGCTAATAGTGATGATAAGAAAGGCTAAGACCTGACAACCTAAAAAGATTCCAAACTCCTTAAGGCCTGTCTACATTTGAAGCTCTTTTGTACCTTGGATTTGCTCCTGCATTCCTAACCAGTGACTGTTGGTCAAGTTGACTACCCACAATTTTTGGTTTAGAAAGTAACTGATAGTTAAAAGCAGTAACAACAACACAAATGCTTGATGGTTCCCTAATAGTATTAAGCCTAATCAGTGCCCTTTGAAATAGAAGCTATATTTTTCTTGAAGGAGAAACTTTGCTGAGTCCACATTGTGTCCATCATGAAAATATCTTGCTTGAAAACCACTATACCCATTAATTCAGGATGCTAATAGCTTTTTTGCCTTTGGTGGTCAAATGTACCTCAGCAGGGTGGCAGTAAACGGATCTTTTCTCTCTAACCAGAGCCTATATTATTTATTATTATTATTATTTTAGTGTTACTGCTGACTTTTATGGACTCAGAGTATTAATGTGCGCGGCTTAGGACCCTGAAAGCTCAGTGCTGCCCAAGTAAAGAGACATCAGGCTATCTGCTTTGGTCTCTCTCCTTTTCTTGTCTTGCAGCTCGGGATTTCAGCAGCAGATCTCAAACATTTCACTGATTATTTTGTTTGGGTTTCTGGATGTGATTTGTGGTACACTGGGGGGAAATCTAAAAGTATTCAAGGATGATTTATTTTCAGTATTTCTATTATAAACCATCTTATTTAAAATGTTTCAAGGTTACATGGGGGGTGAGTTTGAAACTTCGTCACTGACTCAATTTGGAATATGAGATTTTAGCTTAGCCCCTTTTTTGGGTGGTCACAAAAATTAGTCCAAATAGTTCTGGGAAGTTGCAATATTAATTTTAGTCCCATTATCCTTAAAAATTATCCAGCACTTTAAAAAATATTTGAAATTATTTGTTATTATTACTAATTGAGGTCTTCTAAACTGTAATTCCTATTATGAGGCTTATTTTCGTATTTAATCAGGAAGTTCACTTTCCCATTCCTGAAATGTCACTAGGCTCAGAGTATAATCTATTTAGTTGGTACTCATAAATAAAAAAGAAACCTGATTACTTCCAAACTAATTTTGGTTTTAGAGCATAGGTCTCAAGCCCTCTTAACGAGAGAGTTTTATTTTTTGGCGTTAGGATCTTATTACTTTCAGCATAAGTTACAGCAGATCATTTCCAGGATTGCTCTGGTTTTCTATGTTACCACTGTATTCCTCATGTGCTTACAGCAACAATATCACCTAGCAAATTGCCTGCATTTCAGATGGTCCTGTAGTCTGGATTTACGGTATAATCTGTGAAGGAATTCCAGGTGGTCTGTGGACTGGCCTATTTTAATGTTTATAATATGACAAAATCTGTAATTTTGTTCCTGGCATATATTAAATATCCATAAAATCCAGACGGTTACCTTGGTGGTGTTTCCTCAGAAGTGCCTTCTTCCTGTCTATTCTGGTGAGTACTTTTTGCTGTGATAGCTGGGAGGGAATAGTGGAGTAGGTGGTCTTTGTGTTTAGCCGAAGTGGCCAGCAGATTTTAAACGTTTTAAAGCCACTTCCTGCCCAGGGTGACCCAGCTTTGGGCCAGCTTGCCACTGACTTCCTTATGACTAACTCTTTAAATACAAGGATTGAGCAATAAAATATTTTCAAACTGTTTAAGCTCTGGGAGGTAAGTCAGTATTGCCACTATTTCCTTGTTGAGAAAACTCACTCAAATATTGAGATTCCCTACATATTTAAGAAGACTGGCAATTATAAGTAAAAACAAAACAAAACAACAATAACCTTATTTCAAGTTTCGTAGGGGAAAGTAGAGTATGTGTTAACATCACAGGAGGCATTGTAGTGGGTGTGTTTATTTTATTGGGTTAGAATTGTGCTTTAAAAGTTTGAGACATGGAAATAGCTTTTAAGGTAATATGTTTTATACTCGTAAATTAAAGAAGCAGGGATTTGACTTTTTTTCAACACCGGGAAATTAGATGTTGAGGTTGTGTTACATAGATGCCAATATAAGCAACTCTGGTTCTTGAATAAAAGTTCTTAGTCGTTTGGTGTTAGAAGAACTGCTGACATCTTATGCTGGAAATATTATCAAATATTCCTTATCCAAAGAGATATGGAATAAAACATAATGTTTCTCTGTTGAAAACCGAAGGTGACTTTTTTGGGAAATGATCTTATTTTCCATCCCATTGTAATAAATCTCCCTTGAAAAAGCACAGTGGAACTAAGCTCATGTTAATAGTTCTAATAGGAAAAAAATGCTTCGTAGATAAAGCAAGGCATAAATAAACTCATTAATGCATTGCAGTGGTGGAAATGGAGGTAAGTGTTGCCAAGGCAATTGATGACCTTATTGTTGACCTGCTTGACCAAAAGAGAATAAATTATACCAAAATAAGAACCTTGGCTCTTTTTGCTGGGTTATGGTTCTGTTCCATTATAAAGTTATTTAGAAAACTAAACACTTGCAAGAATCTTTGTTCTTAGAAGGATTGTATTCATAGAATAAGTGAAATCTACTTTGATTTCCAACTCACCCACTCCCATTTTTCTCAGATATTTATCAAGTAATGTGATTTGTAATCCAAACAAAAAAAAGTGCCTTAATCCAGAACATACACATGGAGACAATAACAGCAGACTGATGGTGTTTGTACTTTACTAAAACATTGAGATCTTCTCTAAAACAGAGTGGTTTGAGAGCATAACATCTAGAGTGTAAAGAATTATAATGGAATGGTAAACATACTGTGATTCTATCTGGTCACAGAATCATAGAGACCAGCACATTCCTGTCTATCCTTTGGGGTGAAAAACTAGGGAATGTGACCCTTTTCCCTTAAAAGAGATCTGCCTTACAATGTTCATATGTTTCACTGTGTGGGATAAGCAAGTTGACATTTAGACATAACTGAGGCCAACCTGGAATTTGGCTCTTATCCCTTCCTTTATAAGCCGTTGTAGACAGGGCTCTTCGGGGGATGGAGGTTTAATTGTAATGGCAGTCTCTTAAGCCTGGGTCATGGAACAATATAGGGCTTAGCAGATGAATGTTAAGATAAGTCAGCTTCCCTTATGTAACTGTTAGCCCTATTTCTTGTGATATTAGGATGTGGTTAGTATATTTTTGTTTTAAAATTTGAAAGTTCTTACTAAGATAATCATGTTGCGGTCATGCCAAAATGAATTGCCTAAAAAGGAACCTGTTTTGACCTCTATGACTTTAAAAATCTCTCCTTTAATCAAACTTCCCTGGCTCTCTCCTGAGGATTTATCGGAAGAACTCCATTTTGGCTAATGTGCAGCAGTAAAGATTAGCTGGGCTTATGTGTGAAGTTAGTCAAATTAAAAGAAAAGGAAAAGGCTGAGGAGAAAATTAAAATTGAAAATGTAAATGGTACTTATGATATTGGAGTTGTGCTTTGATGGACTGCCAAAGTAATGTGTTGTAAGTTGGGGAAGTGGGTCAAGATGGGCAGAGTTGTTATTGGTGAGTTTTAAAAATCTTTAAGAGTCCCTTAATGTTTGTATATAAATCTTGGAGTATCTCACCACAAGTTGGAGTGAATTCTGCACAAAGAGCAAAATGGCCTTTGCATTTTTCCATTTTTCTACAATTTATACCAATTGAGAAGCAATTCTCCATAGATCTCTTGCATTTCTATATGTCTTTCTAAGGAAGGCACAGACTTCTTGTATCCTGTACTGTCTTTTTGAGGATATTTGTATAGTGAACAATCTTGGAAGATACAGTGTCTTTCTCTCCCCTGTCTCCCCCTCCCTTTTAACTTCCAGAGCAGAGGTTTAAGTTTGTGTACAACCTCGGAAGATAGTGTCTTCCCTTCAGAGTAAAGGCATGCTTACTGCCCATTATAAAAGATTGAGTTCCCTAAGCTTAAGATTTCTTCTTTGTAATAAAACCTACTGTAAGTGCAGGCACCCATCTGGGCCTAATCTGGTCACTCTTCTGGGACTTGGGTATAAGGAATAACTGATTTTTAAAATGCTGATTATCAGGGCAGGCACCGTGGTTCATGCCTGTAATCCCAGCACTTTGGGAGGCCGAGGCAGATGGATCACCTGAGGTCAGGAGTTCGAGATCAGCCTGGCCAACATGGCAAAACCCCATCTCTACTAAAAATACAAAAATTACCCAGGCGTGGTGTGGTACACGCCTGTAATCCCAGCTACTCTGGAGGCTGAGACGTGAGAATTGCTTGAACCTGGGAGGTGGAGATTGCAGTGAGCTGAGATTACACCACTGCACTCCAGCCTGGGTGACAGAGCGAGACTCCATCTCAAAAAAAAAAAAAAAAAAAAAAAGGATTATCATTCATGCCCTGCTTACTGTACCATAAGTAATAAAGTTCTTTGTATGTGACCTACGGGTATGTCTTTTACCAGTGTCAATGAATATGGCAGGCGCTTGCAATAGAGCAAAATCTCAGACCCTTCACAGTTCTTGATGGATTTTGGTCATGAGGATGGGATGCGGACAGACACATAGCTTTCTGGAAGAGGAGGAGGGCTTTGGGGCTCATTAATAGGATTCATAGGAAGTCCTTAGTAATTGTTAGCAAGCATGTTGACCAAATTTCATGATTAACCTGATGATACATGGTCCTCAACTTCATTGCCTGTTAATGAGGAGCAAATGGGACAGTGGTTGCAGGCCAAGTATCAGAAAGTAGGTCCAGTGATAGCTACCCAAATGGTTCCTTGTTTTTTGCTAACCCTTTTCTGGGCATGGGGAGAGGTGTTTCCTCACCAGTTTGCCAGTTAGCTTCAAGTCCACCCCACTGTAAAAATTAGTACTAAGATATATCCTGGGTGGGCTGAAGGGTGTACCTCCTTAGACAATAGGTGAATCAT